TAATGGCTGTTTGGTGGACACGGCAAGGCTGTCAGAAAATAAGAAAAGACTTCAACTCTACCTCTATAAACAGTTTTATCTAATGTCCCAAATGCATCGAACTAACGTTGCTGCTCTGAAAAAATAAGGAAACAATGGTTGTCACAAAAGCTCATAGAGGTATTTAAAACGCTCTGTATAGCGTTAAATCGTGCTTCAGGATCTTGCTTACGACAAAGGTCTGGTGTCCGCCAAATAATGGACACGCCCTCATCATCACAGGCGTCGGCATATGCCTCCAGGTTGTCACAAAGACCCTCGATGTCTCCGTCTTGTGCGCAAATGTCGTAGAAACAGTCCCCAAAGTATTCCGAAGGATCCTCGAAGGCATGGCAAGGGGCAAACGGGCCGTTATTGGCTGTAATGATCCCGCACAGGTCATTAGCAAGAATCTCTATCTCGGGGCGACAAGGTGGTGGCGGTGGCGGTCCAATACACCTGAGGTGGACAGAAAAGTCCACATCATGATTAAGGAAACAGTTTTGTAAAAGCAGATAGGATAGTGATTACAGGTACCTAGGTATGCCGTGATATAAAAATAGTTCGCTCTTGTCAGGCACTGACACACTATCTCCGGACGATAAAGGCAGTGCAGCTACTTTCACGGGATAGCCCCATTCTCTGGGTACGCTGATTTTCAAAGAAGAGAAGGTGAGGGACCGGTAAATAGGCTTTGCATTGGAATTTTATGCCAAAACCACTAGAAACAAGCACTTTAACCTTAACACATTTACCTTAATTTCAAACCTCAAGTTTTTACCCCCCACTGAAAAGCTGGATTTGTCAAGTGTCTTTTGGTACAAATTGTGGAAGGTCGACTCCGGGGTTTCAATGAGCTACAACCAAACTATTGAGTTGAGGTCAACAACAGGTCAAACCACGCCAAAGGTCACACTTTTTGGCCAGATTTTGAAAATATACCTTCATACAAGAAACCTGGGCCTTTCTTAGCAACATTTGCCCAGGAAATAAAAATTATCTACAAAATAAGGCCCAAAATATATCGTGCTCATGGCGAATGACTTGCCCCTCCCAAAATGCTGAAATATTTTGTCACCTTAAAGTAATGAAACGTGCGTTGTCATAACTATATTGTCCTCCTTCTCATACAGCCCGACTTTCTTACTATACCAATTCAATCTGTCAGCTTGACGAACACACATTTTTGGATTGAATGCTATACATTTTGGAGCGTGGCCAAGAAAATAATATTGGCTCATCCTCGCCTTACATTTGTCTACCAATCCATATTGATGGAAATGTGATTAAATGCTTCATATCAATAAAACATACATCTCATTGTCTTCGTCCTGGACCAACCAGCTATACCCGAAGTCGTTCCAGTTTGTAGCGATGGTCACCAGATCTGACATCATGAAGTCATCGCTCCTGTCGTAGTTGAAGTTACCACACAGTCCACACATCCTATCACAGTAGTAAGGTGAAACCTTCACCTGTAGCAGCATTTAATACACATCATCTTCAACTCGGATGTGTAGATACCCAAATTATTTACTGAATGTAAAACATGGCCGATGTATGCTTTATAATCAGATGAATAGACAATGGCACAATGTATCTGTACTACATGCAACTTTTCAGAATAGGAAATTGCCCTTGTCAGTTACGTGCTTACCTTAACACAGTGGCGCCCATTGTAGTAAACGTCCACACATAACTCCACCAATCGCACGTGAACCCAAATGCCTCGGAACCTGACGCGGATCTTGCCCATTGCCAGTGAAAAGGGAGGCGTGTATAGCACTCCGTCCACCTTTGGATAACGAAATAAGGAATTTCAGAGAATGGACAAAGTAGCACAGAACTCTAATATTCTCCAAAGCATACTGCATATGATCACCATACACTAATAACGTGTCTTGGCATGAATACTGGTGATACAGTGTACACTTAAGAACATTATCGAGACTGAGACTGGAACCATCTGAAATGAGTCATGACCTCTGAAAGAAAACTTTGTATTAAATCTTAGCTTCAACTCATCTAGAGTAGGAATGCAGATAGATAGCAAATGTGCTCATTGGTTACCTAAACTGGTACTGTACTATACAGGTGGTCATCACAACTTTAGCATGGGTCAGCAAAACATAATGTCTCTCACCGTCACGTCATTGCCTTGGTGAATTCCGATTTCGTACCCGTGGGCTATTACGAACACCTCACGCACAACTGACACAACTGGCCTGCGGGGTACGGGTACGTGTTGTACTTCCACACTAAAGTCGTTGTTTCCGCAGTCCTTGGCGAAGATGTATCTGCACGGGCCTTGAAAGTGGTGAGGACGCTTATCAAACGTCTTTGTGTGTGGATCTCCGCAAGCACGGCAGATTCCTCTCTCTGTGAAACATATAGCAAAGGTCCGTTATACATATAAAACATTGTTTAAGGAATGACACACTTTGGGTGTTAGGTACAATAAAGAACATATTGTGTACATCTAGGGTAACCGGCACTTTAAACAGCAATACTTTTATCATTCATATTTTTCAGATGAATTGTATATTTACCTGTCGCATTTGATAGAGAAAAACACTTTCAGAAAGTTCGTAATACTTTCATTCATACCGCCGTCAGAGTTGTGACAAAAATCAAGAGGTATGAGCATCCATGTTATTGTACATCAGCAACAGACCTTATGTGAAATATAAGGCCTGATACACTTACATAACTGAAGACATACATTTTGGGTTGTAGACAATTCAGTGTTTTTCTTGAGACACACACGTATACAAAGAAACACACACCCACACACACACACGTACAAATATTACATGGTGGATATTTATACCATCACACAACAACAGGAACTATATTACCTACAAAAGAAATTTCATTGTACAGTACTTTTCTGCCTGTGTTGACATTTAAAGAAACACTATCGTGTTGTCAAGCTCAGTCCAAAGAAAACATAAACTCCACATATGGGCCTCCCGTGTGATATGACTTTAAATTCTTTTCCATTCGGGTCAAAGGCGTAAGACAGTAAAAACATATCTAAGAATACATGTTGTCACATGTTCACACCTATACATCACACTGAAGTTACAAGTCATGTGTGCAGTAGTGTGTACTGATACCAACCTGGGCCTTCACACAAGTCGTCCCGGGTCATTGCTAGAAGATAGAAGATATTAAGAGTATTAAGAGTATTGATAATACAAATGTAACGATAATTTTATCAAACACGTTCAATAACTTATCTGATTGCAACTTAAATAATTGATGCCAAATAATTCATCTGTTTCTTCAATAGATGAACACATGGAAGAAAGCATTCATATATCCATTATTGATTTTTCAGTTGGATTGTTGGTACCTTTTAAGCAAGAAAGCAAGCAATTCACTTGTTGACGTAGGTTTTTAAGGTAGAATATTACGTTGGCATCCGGTTCCACCGATGAGTCCGTCGCCAAAATACTTAGGCGGACAGTGGCAAACTGCTCCGAAAGCGGGAGGCCGGCGGTCTTCGCAGGTCGCCATTGGAACACACGGATTGGGAACGCAATCATTGATTTCTGAAGAAAAGAGGTACGATGATAAAAAAAATAGAAAATCCTCAAGTACTCACAAATAATACCGCGAGCATGGAAGTATTGTCGAACAAGTCCCAAAACCATAAGAGCCGCCCATAGCAGCATAGTAAAGAGCCGCATACGCGCAGTAGCGGCAATTATGGACTTAAGTTTCTATATTCTATGAATGATACATCGTCAATATCTGTAAAGAGAAACAGCATTCACATCTTTGTTTTAGCATTTACAAGAAACTGTAAATTCTCATCACTGAAGGGAGGGTGATAGATCTAACAGATCTGAACCTCTAAGTTACTAAGGATTATTATCAGGTCAGGGAAAATATCATTTATGTTTTGCTATCTACTTTATCGATACAAGACAAGTACACAATTAGTAGTCGCAAGATATCATTTATGTTTTGCTATCTACTTTATCGATACAAGAAAAGTCCGTAGTTATCAGTACATATGGTATGCAGTGAAATGTTCAGAACCGACGGGTACAAAGTCAAGGGTTCCTTTTTTTGTCAGGCACAATATGAATTGAACGAAATGGGAACACAATTTGCGTCCGCAGTTTTGGCACGGAAACAATACTACCTGGTGTACGTATAGCCGTTACGTTGTATCACATCGTTTACCGCAACGAACTGAAAACGTATCGAGTCATAACGAGCTTTGTATTAGCGCTTTACAGGTCTACTAGCAATTTATGTTCCATAACCGTAATATGTTTTACAATTTGTGCAATCAGATATTTTTGCTCTCACCATCACAGTTGACTCCGTTCCAGAAATAACCCTCGTTACAGGTACAGAAGAAACCGCCGTCTGTGTTAGTACAGTTTGCATGATCACCGCAGTTGTCCGTGTCAGTTGCACATTCGTCTATATCTGTTGAGGAAAAAAACATGTACTAGTAAGTCTATCTTACTCTTTTCCACAACTTACAGCCCATGATATTTCTGCAGAGAGGCAACTATAGCCCACATCGCTT